AAGATCTAAAGAGAAGAAAAACAAGAATCAAGAAATAATTAGAAATAGTATTAATAAAAAATGTTGTAAAGGCAAAGTCTTCTATTATGATTATATTGTACTATATTTATCTTTGTAAGCCCCTTAGTTACAGTAATCTTTCCCTTGATCTTTTGTGATGAAAGATTCAATTAACTTCAAGCCTCTTGAGATCGTTAGAATAGTGAAAGTTATATAAACCCTGTAATTTCTCTTTTGTAAATGTAGATCCTATGGGATTCTAATATTATTATCTACATTTAATAAATCATCTTGATAATATTATTTTAAAACTAAACTATTGCTAAATTACCATTGTTACACCTCTAGCAAGTTGCCTTATATTATAAAATCATCTGTTTTCGTGTTTATCCTATTAAAAGATACAATTCACCCTATAACAATACAACAGCATTATAGTATTTCAATATTATAACATTATGGTATTATAATATTGTGGCATTATGACATTGCAGTATTATAGTACAAAGTAATTATAGCAAATAATATTAATTTGCCAAATTAATTTTACTAACAACACTAAATATAACTACATTTCTGGTATAATTGATTACAATACATGCTATTTTTTTTGCATTATTATTGCAACTAATAATCCAGATTATAATGTTATCCTTTATCTGAGTACAAGATCAGATCATCCTTTTTAAAAACTTTAGATAAGAATATTCTAGGATTAAACAGATTTGAGAATCAATTTGGATAGTTTGGATATTGGATTGAATCTTTAGGCGCCAAGTGCAGTAGCTAGTTGTATTCTCATTGTAACTATATCAACACATATTGTTAATAAAACAGCGCCAGGCCAAAGAGGTCATCTTAATACCAAAAAAAAAAATAATAGTAATGTAATTATATAAAGTTTTTTTTAACAAATAAATTGCCAATAGTTTTTCAAAAAGTGGTGCTTATAAAGAGAGTGTGATTATATAGAAGGTGACTGTAGAGGAGAGCGACTATATATAAATAAACCTAGCTTTAATAAATTTTTTTTGGACAATTTTAATGCTCACTGGAGTAGAGTTTGGAACCGGTTTTATTTTTCATATGTTAAACCTGGTTTTAATCGGTTTTAACATATGATAATAATTAGTAACTGGTGAACTAAATAAAATGTTCAGCACCTTAAACCTAACCCTAACCCTAATTCAGGCTTTAACCCTAATACTAAGGTTAATTTTAACTTTAAATTTTTTAAATCTATTAAAATCTTTTACAAAAATTTTAGTTTAATTTATGCTATTAACAATCTTTTTTACAAGCAAATTTTTATCTTTTTAGTTACTTATATTTACCCCCTAACGTGACTTAAACCTAATCTAAATATTTTCTACAGGGGGATCCCCAAATTTAGGGTCGGGGTTAGGGCTGGGTTAGGGTTAGTGGAAGCTATAGGCTATAGTAAAATTATACTTTTCACTTAATGAACGACTATTGTTTCATTAGTAAAATTCTTAGTGATCTTGGGGCAAAATTGATCACCTCCGGCCCTTCCGACCCGGAATTTTGGGGATCTCCCTGTAGGAGTTGATCAAAATAACCCTAACCCCTAACCCCTAACCTTAGGTTAAAAATCACGAGGGGGTAAAATTTTTTGTGGGATAGCTACCGTACATACACAAGTTGCGAATATCACACATAGGATCTACCAATCTAATTGATTATCAACGCTCGAAATTTAATTGGAGAAGCACGTCAGAAAACCAAATTTTTTTCAAGTTTCAACAACGATTTATTATAACAAATTACTACTTATTATTTGCAATATATATATACAAAAAAAAAGCAACTTTGTGCGTGAATTATTCATGATGATATAAGAAATCGATCAACCGAATTTGAAAAAAAAAAATAAAAATCGACAGGCTAAGCTGAAAATCAGCTTAAATTAGTTTAGTCGATTTTTTTTTCATTCTTTGACAGAATCATTATTAGAAACATTTGCAAGTAGAGCTTCAACTTTTGATTCCATCTTTTCTTTAATATCAGTTACTCTTTGTGCCGCTTCAGCCAACAAAGTTTTTTTCTGCTCTATTTCTGTTAACAGCGTATTGACCTGGTTTTGAATGCGACCCTATTTCATTTTTCATTTAGATGTATTAATCATAACAATTATAACAATTGAAGAACAGCGATTTAATAAATATAAAAAAATCAAACCTGCATAACAGCATTAATCTCTCCTCTCAAATCAGATAATTTTTTATTTAAATTTGCTTCCAACTTCGTCACTTCAGCTGTTAATTCTCTTTGGCTTGAAAAGAGTTTGTTCAATTCTTCCTCTACATAAATAAACAAGTATTAAAATTTCAATACGTATAAGTCGAAATTCAACAGAAAAATACATACGATTTTCTTCTTCAGAATCTGTTTCACTTGCATCAGATTCTTCAACATCTTCAACATTACTCTCATGACTATCATCCTCCAATAATTGATCTAATCCAATTCTAAACTCTTCAGTAATATCATCGTTTTGAGCAAACTCATCATTTTCTGATTCATCAAGTATATTGGCCTGCCCTTCTACTAAAACCTGCTCATACTCTTGCAATGCTTCTATATCCATATCATCATCAAAGTCTTCAGCTTCGTAATCATCATCTTCACCCACTACATCAGCATCAAAATCATCAGCTTCTTCAGGAATCGATTCCGCAAGTGCAGCAGGAGTAGCAGTTTCAGAATCGACAGCATCTTCCCAATCTTTATATAAATTATTATACATTGTTCTTTATCAGTTAAAACCGATTACAGCAAAAAATCTGTATTATAATCTCTATAGAAATCCAATATTACCAATTTTAACCTCCTCTGCCAATGAATCATCATGTAATAATTTTTCGACCTCTTTTTCGATGTCTTCGATTTTCTTTGATTATTTAAGTAAGTAAAATAATATATATAATTAAAATAAAATGATAAATAAGTATACCTTATTAGAAATACGTTTCCTAAATCTCCTGTTTCTAGCATTCTTCAAGGGTGGTGTTAACCCATCAGGCCATTCAAATTGATCGATACTTGAAGATGCCGTATTTTCAGTAAAAAGATGCACCTCCTCTTGAGTATCAATCGGTGATTCTACTATTAACATCTAATTATGATCGAAAAAAAATTTTGAATTAAAGATATAAAATTACATGATAAGTGATATGATATAAATTTAATTACCTGGCAAACATCAGCAACTTTGTAAAATTGTTTATTGTTGAAGGTTTTTTGTGCCTCAATAATACAAGGCAAATCTACTAATCGTGCACTATATTTTTGATTTTCGAACGTGAAAATTGCACGACGGGAGTCTATTTCAATTCATAGTTTTATAAAAAATTGTTAAACGTCTATCTTGCGCTATCATAATAATATTTTTATAAGTTTGTTAATTTACCCTTAAACATGATTTCAACATCTTCAGGAGCAAACTTTTGTTTTCTCACTTTCTCTCTGAAACGCTGCTTTACATCTTCAGGTACCATTAACCTCAAAATAAATTGTTCTTCAATCGGTGCTTCAGGCTCTTCATCGTCGGGTATTTTGCCTAAAAAAATATGCTTTTTTCTTGTACCATCGTTTGTTTGCTGTCTTTGTCGTTCTTCTGTACTGGCCGATTGCGCGTGTAAAGATTTACTCGGTATTTTGATTTTTAGAGGAGCCGAGGTTGTAGAAGTACCAGCAGCTGCAGAGCTCAAATTAGAAGCATTTAGAGTAGGTAGAACTATTTTTTTCTTTAAGGTAGGAGAAATTCCTTCTTTCTTATGGCCCATGTAGTTTTAGTAGTCGGTTCTTAACTATTGACCCTATAGGCTAACTTTCTCGTGATTGGTCAATTTAATACAATTGAATTTATACAAAGAATACTTTTATGATACATAGTAAATTAAAAAATAAAATGTACAAAACATTACAAAAGAATCAAGGAAATATAGGACATTGGGGTGTCAAAAGAGGTTTGATCCGGTCAAAAAATAAACATTTGGGTTATTTTATTGTTCAAACATAATATTATATAGGCAGAAGTTTATCTGATTGGTTAAAGCAAATCAATTGCCTGGGTAACTTATTTATACGTTATATAAAGTATATATATATATACTTTTTTTTTACAAACACCACATTTCATCAAACATTACTATGCTTACTCCTACGTGAACTTGGCGCACCTACGTAGTGAATAGTATGTCATTATGCCACCCTATAATACTGAACCCCACTCGTAAAGAAACCATTTTTTACAAAAAAAACAGAACTCGAAATTTTAATTAAAAAACCACCTTCTGCGGCCTAATTAAAAATGCTCCTCATGAAATTTTACTGATAGAAACTTTATTGTCCTAATTCTAACCTTAACCCTAACCCAAACTACAACGCTGTTTTATTCTCAGTAAAAATTACAAAGGGTGCATTACCTAAGATTATAATAATCTCTAAATTAATCTCAGTTCTAACCCTAATCTTAAAACCAACTTCCTAATGCTAGAACCCAACTATAACCAACAGCAAGCAGAATTCCACATCATAAAGTGATAGAAAATATTCCAATTAATGCCTATTCAAGACACCAACATTGTAGTAAATCATGAAAAAAGCGCCAAATATAGTGCAACAAAACTCGACACCAACAATGAAAAGCAAAACACAATAATGGTGAACAATTCAATACCAGAAAAGAAGAGTTAGTACTGCATGAACATGAAAATAAAATAGAAACAAAAAAAAAAAAAAAAAAAAAGAAATATTTAGCTATATGCATAACCCAAAGTTGCTTATATTGAAAAAGCATAACCAACAACCCAAAAGAAGCACCAAATTCAATAATACCACCAATAAAAGAAAAGACTATATTACAGAAAAAAACACTAAACCTATAAAAAAATAAAATAAAACAATAGTCATTGCTGGGAATTAAACACAATGTGAATCACCAACAAACAATAACTTTACTTTATATACTTAATACTCAGAAAAAGACTAAAATAAAAATATTATTTTAAAAGTCAACTCTATTATCATATTAAGCCCAAAAACCATTTTCTTTTTTTTAAAAAAAAAAGCAAAGAAAAATGTAAAAAGAACCTTATCTGCACTGGTAAAATGTAAACTCACTAATGTTTCATTAAAGATGGGTAGAGTATATTCTTTAACAAGACAGTCTAATTATCTTGACATTATCCATATCAAGATGTTACCAGTCTGCATTCAAAAAATAAATAACTAGACAAGCTTATAGTCTTCCTATATAGTGTTTTGATTCTATTTTTAAAAGGTTATTTGGATTAAATTCAGATTCTATTTTAATCTAAGCAAATCTGGATTCAATTATTAAATTTGAATTCTATTTATATTGACATTTCCAAAATTGATAACCTGTCAAATCTGATAAAAAATTAGTCTACCAAGTCTGTTTCCATTATATGTATAAATCTAATAGTTTATAATGTTTTCAAATCCAATAACCTCTCAATGCTGATACAAAATTGGTCCACTATGTGTATTGGTTTTAAGAGGTTCAACAGCATAATAGAAATGGACTTAGTAGATAAATTTTATCAGATTTGACAGATATAGGTTTTGACAGGATTTGTTTTGGGAGGTTCGACAGTAATATAGCATAGTAAGTAATCATTAGATTCAAATTATAATCAATTAGTAAAAACTCATGTTATCTATTGGGCTAGAACGAAGTAGGGATGAGTTTGACTATGAATGGCTATGATTATTCATAGCCAATTTGCTAAATACTGAGATGATTTTTTGTTCTTGAACTTTTAATTAAAGTTGTTCAAAATTAAATTCTGTTAAAAGTAGAAAGAACAATACCTTCTTTGGAACTTAAAATTTTAAGATTTGTTAATATCATAGCCGGCTACTAATCACCGGCTAATAGTCGGCTACAGTGTAAAAAATCTATTTTAATTTTTCTGGTTAATATCTAATAAAACCGGTAAATTTTTTTAATCATAGAAATTTTTTAGTTATGTTATAGCAGATTTCCGAAATATTTTACAAGTGCTAGAAATTTAATTTAGCTAATTACTGCAAAAAAACCAATTACCAGAATTTTCATCTTTTATCAGATTTTTTCTGAAATTTTTTAAGAATTTTTTTCATGCTAGTCGGCTATGATGTTAACAAATCTTAAAATTCTGAATTTCAGAGAAGATAATGTTCTTTCTACTTTTAAGATGAGATGAACAGAATTTAATTCTGAACAACTTTAATTAAAAGCTCAAGAACAAAAAATCATTTCAGTATTTAGCAAATTGGCTATGAATAATTGTAACTATTCATAGTTGAACCCATCTCTAGAATAAAATAAAAAGCCTTGCTAGCTTATATTAACTTACAACTAACTCATAAATTTAACTGCCGTCTAGCATTTCGCTTCAGTTATTATCACTACAATTACCACGCTTATATGCTTGCCATTCAAATTGACCAATTATATGAAAGATATCTAGAATTATGATTCAGATAATCTTTATTCTTAATCCAATATGTTTTCTGGATTTATTGCGCTAAAGCTTCCATTACTAGATGGTGTGACCAAAGTTACAGATTAATCTAGATCCAACCGATAGAATGCTGTCAACCGTACACAGGCCTATTTTTCAAAATCGTCGCCAGTGGGATTCGAACTCTAGACCTGCCGCTTGGAGAGGGTGACAACTAGACCACTACACTAAGTCATCACACCTCTTAAAAAATAAACTTTTATTATATCAACAAATAATATTTATGTAATAAATTAAATAATATTTACGTAATGTCTATGAAGTTTATTTATTTTGTAGTTACAATATACTATCTACTACATTAATTATGACCCATGAGATAGTATTTTAATACTACCACAATTACAACCTACGTCAATATTACAATCAGCCATAATTAATTACCTTAATGCAGCAACACCACTAGGCTGAATAGCTGGTACTTATCAGGAGACTATATGTACCTGTTATTCATTAATTCAACCTGTGTATCTTTACTAGCAAATCTTTGTATTCTAGATCATATCAGTTTATATAATATAAACAAATAACCACAAAAAATATTTACTATAATTGTAACTTTATTAGTTGTGTAAGTTTTGCTATTACAAATATTATTAGACTCTTGCTTACTTGATCCTATCCTGCAAACACTGGACCAAGATAATAAATCAAAATTGTTATCTCTAAAGCTTATAAAAATATATTCCTTAAATTGTAACACAGACAAATTTGCTTGCGAAGATTTTTACTAATTTTTTTAATATTTAAATTTTTTAATAAAATTTTGAATATTAATTTTAG